TTTATATGCATGTATGCTATTGGCCTCTGCCACATCCTGCAGCAAAGCATTTCAGTGTTTAGTCATTCCTGAAAAAGCTTTCCCTTCTGTTTGTTTTATAAAATGTAAATATTGAAGTGCAACACTCAGTCACTTGATTTTGCTTTCTCACAACTGCAACTAAAATTAGTTACGGAGGACAGGTGAAAATAAACAGATGAACTCATTTTGAAAAAAAAAAACATCAGAGAAGAAGCAAAAGAGACTGAAAGAATGAAAACCCAAGAAATGCTGCCACAGCTGCTCTGATGGAAGTAGGGTGGACTGTTATAATGCCAGCTACCTTTCTGAGGATTTGTTTTTGAACTCTGTGGGAGGTATTCAAGCACTACAGCGCTAGGGAACACTGCAAAAACTTGCATGAATAGATAAACAACATGAGATGTTGGCTTTCAAAAAACTCTAGCTTTGGAATGATGAATAAAATCTAGCAGAAATTAACAGAACTGGTGTAAGTAGACCAAATTGCACTCAAGCCTTCATTTTAACATAGGCATTTGGACTTAGTTGTGAAATTGCATTAAAGAAGTATCTTTCCATGGTGATGCACATACACAAACACACAATATTAAAATGCAGATTCTTGCTCCACGGTGCATGTGAACATCTCCAGGTTACATATGCCATATCTGAGTTTTTCTTTCAGCTAGCACTGACATTTTCTTGCCATGTATTGACCTGGAAGATCAGTTTCAGTACATTCAATCAGATCAAAAGAATCTACATATTTCAGGCTCAGATTTTTATGCTGCCCTTTAACAAGCTTATAAAACAAAGCATGAAGGTTTAATTTATTTTAATAAATGTTAGGAATTTTTTTAAGTTTCTTCTTTCTCACATTTATTCCCTGGGCACTACAGAGTATAAAAACAATACGGTATGTGTATAGGAACATAGGTACCCACACTAAATAAAAGAAAGAGTGCCTCAAGTACAAATTGAGCAATCAGGATTTTAAATTCACTGCCTTCTCGCTGGCATTATATAGCATATGTATATGCAGTACGTACACATATACACATATATACATATATAAACATTTATCACTTGCTTAGCTGGATCATACCCATCTAACCTTTTCAATGTGGTAGTTTCAAAGTGTCATATTAAAGCCTGTTGGCTAGCTTCACGTTTCCTGCTCATGAAACTCAGGCCAACAATCTGTGCCAGACGGCAGTTAGCTAATTCAGAAAGAACTTGCAAAAAACATTACACAAACCAAGAGATGAAAATCTGAGCCTTTTTCTTGTCCTGATACAAACAAATATAATATCAAAATTGAAACATATCAGATGGATTTTATATTGTTTTCAAAGCCTTGGGAGTAGTAGTCATAGTAGAAGAAAGATGAAGGCACAGGTAATCAGGTATTTTACAACAATCATTTTCTGGCTGCAAAATCATTACGACCTCCAGAACTTCCTGGCTAAAGCAGCGTAATGACTGCCTTGCTGACTTTACTGGCCATTAGGGAACTGCCAGGAGACTGTTTACTGTTTCCACAGGCGCTGACCTAATCTACAAGTCACACGCAGTAACCAAGATCTTGGTCAGCCAAACTACTGTGCATACCTACAACTTCTCATTATCCAAGTCTAGACATGATGCATCTCAGAAAACAGTATGATGGGCACATCAGGCACCAGATCTTTATTAAATAAAAGGTGGTAGCCCTATCTTATTTTGAGACCACCCCAGTCCATTAAACGACTCTCTTTCACTTGCTCATAACATTGCCAAGACACAATGATTTAAGCTCAGACTTTCCATGCTGAGTCCCTGCTTCGGGCTTGTTTTGGAAGATTTCAGCCAAAACAGTTCCATCATTTCCGAGAGCAAGGCTAGGAAAACAGGTCTTATTTTGCCCCTATTTTAAAAAATTATTTGAAAAGCTTGGGCACTTCTAGGCCATGGAGCAGGAGCATGAAATGTGTCAGGGTCTGGTCTTTTGTGCCAGAACTGTGCTTTCTGTCATTAGTTCTTGATAAACTAAAATTTGTAAGAACTGGGACAAGCTGGGCAAACAGACTGGGACATGGACAGGATTAGAGGGAAAAAAATTGGACTGTCCAGAGCTGAGCAGCCCAGAGTATGATGGAGAATGGGGAGTGGTTCACTGCCTACAGGGCAGGATAGCTAAAACAAAGACGCATCAATGAGGAGGCAAGAGACACAAGGACAGGTTGGAGGAGACTGGACAATAAAAGTCAAGCTTCAGTGAGCTTGTTTCTCTCATGTTTCTGTATGCTGTCTCTCTCTCTCTCTTCAGAGCCTGAAGTGTAATTCCTGACTTGCTTGTTCCCACTACTCCTTGCTGTCAGGCAAAACGTGCTCTGATGCACCTCCATCGCTGGTCTACATTGAAAGTGGACATTGAAATGAATGTTCCTTGTCAGCTATTTCACTAGGTCCTAGGAAGACACATCTTCACACATAACTGACACGAGTGTTCATACAATGCCACTCAGTGCTCTTTCATTTCCTTCTGTTGGCTTGGAAAAGAAGAAATAAATAAAGCATTGAAAGTACTTTTTAAAGTACTAAAGTTGAAGACCTGGGCATGAGATTGCAAGGAAAAGCTAGAATAGGGTTCACCATGCAACTTAATTCAAGTAACTATTACAAGTAGACAACCTGTAACTACACCAGGTTTTCACTCTCAACTTATGGCAAGCAGACACATGCTTGCACTTTGGCATCATTTGTCTTTTGTATGCTACCTTCTCAGCCATAAACATATCTTGATATACTTTTCCATACCAACATGCTTCGAAACTTCATCCATTACCTTCCACGTACTATTTGTCTAAGGAAAACTTTATAAACTGATGGTGTATATACATAGACAGCCATCATGAAAACCATAAAACCATTATACAAAGTTCAGCACATTATATCTTGTGCATCGTTTATTAAAAAATGGCATCTACTACATATGCAAAACTGCAACTTAATCCCTATTCTAAACTTAGTTTAATCTTCCAATCTAAGAAAAAAAGACAGTGTGAGAGAATAGGTTTAAACCAAGGCTAACCAAGGTTGAACTTCACCCATACCCCTTCTCTCCCAAAGACATAGTTATTTGGCTCAGCGATGTCTGAATTATGATATGCTGAACACATGCTGAGTTCCCTAAAACTCAATAAATGCCATTATTTTTGTGATATTTGAGGAATGCCTCCTCAACAGAAACATTTTGCAACTTGTTTCCATGGAAAAGAAGACTTTCCTGTCACAAGACCTGAAGGACCCACTGGAGGTTTCTGAGAATTGCCAGAGGCCAACAAACCCTCTTGCTGCAGAGCACTGGGTTTCTTCCCTCCTGCAGACCTTCAGACTCAGAAGCAGCAAGGATATTCCCTTGACTTATTTATTCTCCTCTACAGACATGAAAGCTGCAATTCACAAAAAAGCATTCCATCCAAGACAAACTTCTTCACAAGTGTTTTAGATATACTAATTTCTAGGAAAACATCAAAATAGTTCTTCATAAAGTCATGTTGCAAAAGATTTTCCATGTAAATGTCACCTGTTAAAAAAACTGCCACCTCCAAGGCTATAAACCATTTTTAACAGTCGTGCTCAGCTGTCATCACTCTCATGGTGTGTAAGATGCTACACAAGCTACTAAACCTTTTTAGCAGTAATAAAGAAATTCATAAACAGTAGATGGCAAAAGTGTGTTATAAGCCTGCCTTCTTAACCAATACCTTTTAATGATTTTGAAAAAATAAAAAAAATATGCTTCTGCAAATATTTTAGGATGATACTATGAGAGACTTTTCTACCATGCATTTAATAAAATTATTTTTATTTTCTATATAAGTTGAAAGATAATTATAAATTCTATTGTGCTTTATGCATAAATATATGCACCTAAAAATCCCATCTATTTTTTTAAGGTATCAGATATCTGCGAGAAAACAGTAGCCAACATTTAGGACCAAAATTTTCAGCATAAATTTCCTTTTTAGCACAAGCAGCCCTCTTTTTTGTGAACTTTTTCTTTTACAGTGTATTTACTTCAAAGAAAAACTTTTTTTTCAAAAGTTGAACTCAATAACTACTGTAATTTCAAAAATTACTTTGTAGTGGGGAAAATGCTTAAGATGTTTATCTATAATTTAGAAATACCTGAGTTACAAGAAAAGCTTTCATACATATGTTCATAGTACTGTCACACTCTGAAAAAAGCTGGAATTATCTCAGTGTCATCAGGTAGTCTTTAGATGGCTCACAGATAGTGAAAAGCCATTACAGAACTCAGGATAACCACAGAAGTAGTGCCTACAAAAATTTATGTAAAGTCAGTCTTTGTAAAAAGAGTGGGGATAAGGAATGACAGCAGCTTGAGGACATCCTCAGGAAGTCATGTGAAATAATATGTTATAGTCATTAACTTACTCAGATAACAAAGTGATCTCTCCAACCAGACATTGCAAATACTTCAAGTCCATTGCTCTAAATTACACTGACTTCTGGTTTCAGATTTTAACCCAGTGGTTGAGTTTAGGAAAGTAGGATCAGGTCCCCATTTTTACCAGAACTTACTAGTGCTGACTTTTTAGATTAATTAAAATCCATAATTGAGTATGGTGATGCAAATCACATACGAAACAAACAAACAAAATGAGTGAACATAGAGACTGCTGACAAACCAAGACACAATCAGATCTCATTAGAGCTCCCCAGGTGAAATCTCCACAAACACTGTGACTACAATTGCGGACAGCAGGGCAACACTGCCCGATTCCTGGTACAAAGGCCCTTCATCAGGGCTCCCATGGGAACCAGGCTGCGCAGAAATGCTCTGCTCCCCACTCTACAGCCTGGGAAACTCTATTTCACTTTGCAGGTATAGCTTATGTAGGGTTAATCATCAGATAAGAAAGAACCCTGGGAGGAGATGGCAAGAAAAATCTCCATTCAGAATTCAGCAGATTTGAAGAGCTGGCTCTTACCTTGCAAGGCATAGGCTTTTTGAAGGAGATTTCTGCTTGCGTCCAAACTCCCTTTGGAGAGTCCAAGACGGACCAGATTTTCTCTTGAACAACATGATTCTCCTCAAAGATATAAACAGTGAGAGTACCACTCATTTGGAAAAACCCATATAAGGCATAATAAAAACGCAGACAAAACTGCAAGTTTCCTGGCAGCGTCAGGCCATATAGACGTCCAATGTACCCAGGCTGCGATGTAAACTTTGTGTTCGCCAACAAGAAGTAACCTGCAAGACAGTGCAATTGTTGAGTATTTCTAGTATGCATTAGCACAGCTGATATGGTATTAAAGGAGCTTCCATTACTGCATTGGACTTTGGTAATAAAACCAGTTCCCACTGGCAAGAAACAGATTATCACACTCTGTTTCAGAGGAAATAAGAATTTTTCTAACAGCATCCTGGCTACTTCAAGCTAAACTGGCACATGGCTAAGTTACTAGAAATAAGCACTTTTCAAATGACACTCAAAAATTCTCTGGCCTGAATGGCCTCACTGGAAATCTGTCTGTTTTGAAGGTACCACTCTGAGACCAAAGAATCAAGCATGGGGCACAAGGCATATTATTCCTTGCACCAAGTGTAAATAGGAGAGACTTTAGCACGTATGAATAAGAATCATTAATACTCCACACAAAGAGATGTGTGAGTTTCAGAACTTATTAGTCAGCCTTTCACTACACGGCTTCACTACATAGCATTTTACAGTTTTCCCTTAAAAATGCGAACTACCTAAGCCTGGAAGAGCTAAGAGCCCACCATTCCTCTATTTTAATAGCAATGCATATTATATTTGCTCACATATTTTTGCTGAATCATTCCTTCAGTGAGGACAGATCAATATAGTGAATCACAGAATCACAGAAGCTCAGGAGTTGGAAGGGACCTTGAAAGATCATCCAGGCCACCCCCCCTGCCCGAGCAGCATCACCTAGACTGGGTCACACAGGAACGCATCCAGGTTGGCCTTGAATGTCTCCAGAGAAGGAGACTCCACAACCTCCCTGGGCAGCCTGGTCCAGTGCTCTGTAACCCTCACAGTAAAAAAGTTTTTCCTCATGTTCGCATGGAACCTCCTATGTTCCAGCTTGTACCCATTGCCCCTTGTGAAGATACTCTGATTTACGGCCCTGCATGACTATTCAATAAGGGACCTTCCCTCTTTACACATGGGGGCACACTCAGAGTCCTAGCTAGGACAGAGTGCTGTACACTGATTTTTAATGGTAGGGAGTTGCAGTGAGGCAATGTAACAAGTGTGCTGATTACATTATTTAACAGAGTGAACAATGCTATAACAGACTAACGTTTATATCCAGTTTGACTCTTCTAGTGAAAAGGAGTTTTTACTTACCAAACCCAGTAGTGTGATCTCCTGCTCTATACACATTACGCTTCACTTTCACTCTGCTCCATCCTGGACCATCTTTGTGATCCTGGTAGAAATTACAGAGATCTTCCTCAAAATTGCAGCCTGCCTGGGCAGGATTGAAAGGAGTTCCTGAAAGATAGAGGCATATGTTTTGTCAGGAAGACCACAGTATAATAAGTGTCAGCATTTGGAGCACAAGGATAGTAAAGTATACTCTGTTTCATCTTTGGATTACAGAAGATGAGCATGAGCAAAGATGTCACATATATATAATGCAAAGTCACAATGATATCAAACTATTAATTTTCTATTGCAAGTGGGTGTTATTTTCTTATATTTTTGCTGGAGCTGGGAGGAAACCTTCTTCACAGGCCTTGTAAAATATAAATAAGCTACAGATATTAAGAGAAGATTCCTCCTTCAGGACATAATGCACAAAGACATTCAAACCACTTGTTTTCATCCTCCTTCATTCAAAAGATATTTGGACAAGACAAGCATGAGTGTGCATTCGTGTGTGCATGGGTGGCATATTTTCATTTCAGTTTCCAAGGGGATAACTTTCTAACATCAACATTTAGTATTCTTTTAAAGAGCATTTAAAAAAAACCTTTTTTGTATAACGTGTGTTCACGTGCTTTTGATTCATGTACCACCTCATGGCTACTGACCTCTGGAGCTATGCCTCACTCATTTTAGCACTGCAGCAAAGAAAACTGGGCCATTTATGCTGAAGTTGATTAAAAGCTAAGCTAAGCTCCCCAGCCCTGCTGATGGCTCCCTCTTGACCTGTGATGTGGAATTCAGAGGTCAGGATTTGCTTTAGTCTGAAAAAGGTCCCCCTGATGAACATATGCTTTTAAGTAAAACATTTATACTTTTTTAAAAGCCTCATTGGTCACCTGTACCAGATGCTGAGGGAAGGAGAGGCACAACTCAAAGCCATCATGCAATTTTCGGCTATGTCAGAATTCAGGACCCTATGTGCATCACTCTGTGGCAGCACGCACAACCCTTCTACACAGTGGCTATGAGGGCCTTCCTGGCAAGGCCAGGGACATAGCTGATGTGCTTCAGAAGAAGCAAAATTTCAGCACTGGAGAGATGCCTGTTATCCTTTCAGCTTCAAATAAGCCAGATCTAAGCAATGCCCATGTGTCTTTCTTTGCCTGCAAAGAAAAGGGAGACAGCCATGGCCTTCTCCCTCTGCTTTCCTAGCTAAAGAAAATGCAGTTGGAGCACTACCAGGTCCATGAAGTACTAAAGATTCATCCTTCTGCAAGCATGTTTAATCCTCTGGTACCTTTTCCCTCCATTTGGCGAACATTGAGACCTGTGTTGGCCAAAACTTCCATAAAAATAAGGGAAAAATTAATGGTGTTATATACACTGCTATGGTTGACTGCAAGGAGAATGAAGATCTCTGGCTTTCTAACATTTCTGCTCAAAACAAATGAAGATCGAAGTAGAAGAGAAGTCTGAAGGATTAACCAGCGTTGTTGTAGTTCAACAAAATATGAAGCAAATGACTGACATTCATTTCTCAAACAGAAAAAAAATCCCAAAACTTCAAAATCAGAGTTAGTAGGCAAAGCTCTAGCTGAACCTATCAAATTTACTGGTCAGAGTAGACCTGAACTTGGGCTGTGACAGTGTGACTAAATCAGGATTAGGGCAGAAAAGGCTATAAAATTGATCCCATACCTCAACACATATAGGCCATCTGAAAATTAAAACGGAAAACACAGATGAGCAAACAGCTCCAATCCATGACATACAAATATAACTCAAGATTTTTTTTACAAAACAAACCAAAACTAGAACAACCATTGAGGAGTTAATAAAACAACTAGATTTACTCAGCCAAGAATTCTGGATTAATAACATATCTGGAATCTACCTCCTATTGATACTCCTGCAGTGCAGATAAAACTAGCAGACACTCCAAGCAGATAAAAAAGGGAAAAAAATAATCTCTTTTTCCTTGATCACTTCTAAACATTAGCCAAAAATTCAAACTTGTGACCGAAAAAATGGATGGACTCATTGAGAAACCACTAATCTGCTTTTGACTATTGCTTAGAGCTACAGTAAAACCCAAGCAACCAGTACACGGCTACTTAAGAGGCTGCATTCACAAATTACAAAATCCTTCATTCCAAATGCCTCTACAGCAGAGGTCATGTGGATTCAGCTGACTTCTGCTGCTATGAAAACCTGATAAAATCCTGACAGACATGCCACTCTCTAAGGTAAATAATGCCTCCTGGAACAGTGAAGACAGGAAGGCAGGGCTCCTATTTTGGCTCTGAAGACGACCTCAGGTCATGTGGCATGGAAGAAGACATCCCCTACATTGGCAATAACGAACAGCCCAGGACATTTTCTTCCTCATACCATCACACCAGGGAAAATCCCCCTCTCTTTCTGTGACAGACTTGCAGGTGGTAATCTGTTCAAAAGCTGGGGTGATGCAAATACAGTATTCAGTCCAGTGCTGCAGTTGCAGATGCCTGAGGCAAAGTCTTCAGAGAGGAAGCACCATGGACTGGTTTCTGGATCAAATGGATAGCATTAGTGTTAATCTGCTGTTTTTGTCACCAGGAGAAAGACGAGCCCAATGGTGCTGGTCAGTTGAGAAGGCAACATCTGCACATCCCTACCAAATACTGCAAGTACTGACAGATGCTTCTGAGACACAAAGCAAAGGGGGAAAACAAAGAACGTAAATGGCAATAAGAACTCGTACCTGTCTGATTGCTGCAGTAAGCTGGAGAGAAAGAAATGTCATCAAGGGCAACGTAACCTCCCTTGGCACTATTGAAAGCGACTTCAAATATTACCTAGGAATGATAATGGTTTGTTACACATCTACCATATACACAACAATAATTTTGGTACTCATTACAGAATTCTGATTGGATGTCCCAGATAGACTCCAGGGCATTTCAGACAGCACTGCAGGTGTTGGGACAAAGTCAGTTATATCACTTATTAGGTATATAAACCAGAGCCTGATCCTGGTACCAGATCTTTGCCTGCTCAAGGTCAAGGAAAAATCAAGGGGAACATAGCTTTCCTGCTGCTTTATGAAGCATCAGTTTTAAAGATATGGTAAGGCTACTGTCATGATACCATACAAAACTAGTATTCAGTGTAATCAGACTGTATTGGCTATAACTCCAAAGCTGCCTGATTATTACTGTATCTAGAATCTATCTGCATCAAGAGCCAAAAAACAAACTGGGTGGATTACTCTGCTGTTACAATATTAAGTTTTACTGTTTTCTCTAAACACCCTCAGACACTGAAACCCATGCTTTAGCATCAGGTGCCAGGGAAGACTTTCTTTAAAAAAATCAGGATAAGAACCAGAAAAGCTAACACTGTGTTTTGTTTACCACAAAAGTCAAACTATGCTTGTACTTAGCCATTCCTAAGGGACATAATTTCCTCCAAGTGGAGGACAGCCCATAACTCCTGAGGAAGTGTCTTAAAATTCCTCTTTAAGTATCAAAGCTCTTAGTTAAAGGAAAACTTTGAGAAAAGGCCTGAATTACAAGGCAACCCCAGGGACAAAACAAGGATATAAGGACAAATGCTTTCAGACTGAGATCCTGTTCAGTGAAAGCAGCGCTTGTGATGTCTCACCTAGGCATGGGAGCCAAGCTAGGAGAGCTGTGAAAGAATCTGAGGAAGCTCCTTTAGCCGGATGAAAAAAACGAGGAAGACCCTCTTGAAGCAACTGAGGAAATTATATGCAAGGTTTAATGTTATTTCTACAAAATTCTCTCTAAAATAATGACTGCATTTGAATACATAAAAATCCCTGGAGCAGAAGGACAAGGGCCCATTTAGCCTAGTGTCTTGTTTCCAACAGAGGTCACCTACAGAAAAAACTGAAGGCAATTAACAAGTTTTCAATTCTTCCCTCACATTGTATTCCTGATGGATTCTTTCCTTCCCATTAATTTGTCTAATCAGTTTTTGAACTGATCCACTGTGTCCACTGTATGCTGTGGAAGTAAGTTCTACAGTTATGTGATGTAGGAAAAAAAATCCTTTTGGTTTATTTTAAAAGTTACCAGATAATTAAGAATTTGAGACAGCAATGTGAGAAAAAGGGAAGAGTTAATCTTTTCTGTGTCATTCATTATTTTATGAACCTCTACCACATTCTTCTTCAGTAATTTTTTTTTGACAGGGTGAGAACTATTATTCCATTAACATAACTTCTCCATATTTTTGATTATCCCCATCTCCCTCTTGTAGTTCTAGGATATTCTTTTATAAATGAGAGGGTTGGAGCTGCATACTCCGCTGAACACAGGGGTACCCTGTGCATTCATCCAGTGGTACAATGACCTCTGTTTATTCCAGTACTGTTTCCAACATTCTCGATGGTTTTAGGAATGCCACTAAGAACTGAGATGGTATTTTCACAAAACTAACCACAGTAATGCCAAGCTCTAAGTGACGATTAATTTATTTCCCTCTATAATGCTAGGACTGTTTTTCCTATTGCATGTTACTTTTTATTTATTGAGTAAGTTATTCACTTATCATTCAGTATTATGAGACCCTATCAGATCTAATCTCCTTTCCCATACCATTTGAAGTCTGGCAATTCAAAGGGATGACTTGGTCACTGACTTTACAGAATATAAAAGGACTATGAAAGATTTGATGAAACTTGGCTTTACTCCTAATAATTTCTAAAAAACTGCAGGCTTACAATGAATTAACAAATAACTTATGTGGAGTTAAAGCAAGTAGAATGAAAGCTGATTTATTTCTAATCCTAGTATTAGAGGTATATATATAGGAATAGAATATATATATATATAGATATAGATATAGATACATAGATATATGTGTGTTTGTGTGTGTGTGTGTATATATATATGTATAGGGGTGTGTGTGTATATATGTATATGAGGAGGAACTTCTTTACTGTGAGGGTGACACAGCACTGGCCCAGGCTGCCCAGAGAGGTTGTGGAGTCTCCTCCTCTGGAGACATTCAAAACCACCTGCCTGGATGCATTCCTGTGTGACCCAGTCTAGGTGATCCTGCTCTGGCAGGGGGGTTGGACTGGATGATCTTCAGAGGTGCCTTCCAACTCCAAATATTCTGTGATTCTGTGATATATAAAAATTACATGTATGTATAAAATTTATACTTGTATACATCTAGGTATGTATGTGTATATATAATACATATACAGTATTTGCTATAAGAATATACATTTTACATGTCTATAAAGATATAACGTATATATGTATGTATAGATATCACATATCTAGACACACACATATTTTTATACATATATATGTTTGTATATTTGTGTACATATATTTTTATACACATACACACACATATATATAAATGTTTATTCCAATCTTCTAAGGTTTGGGGTTTTTTTCAGTAAACAATTAGGAATAACAAAAATTATTTCTTTCCAGTAGTCTTGAAATTAATTATCATAACCATAGAGATGTGGCTTTCACATCTACGGACTACTGTACTATTAGGATCCAAGACTGAATTGCAGGATTGGATGAGGTAGAGAATAGAGCTCAAATATTTTTTTAGTTTTTCTTCTGCAGTGGAAGGCATGCATTATTTTATGATACTCAGCATCCTCAAAAATGGATGATCGCATCACAAAAATATGGGACTAAGAGAACACTGACATTATTTAGTAGCAACTGAAAGACCTCACATTAGTAGGACTCTACAGCCTCCCAAGGTTCTGATCAGGCATTTCACCACCTGACTTCAGCTTTGTTGAAAATCAAGCATCAGCATGGAAAGTGACTCCTCCTTGATCCTTATGCAGTGGACAAAGGAAACAACAGATTACAAGCATCTTTCTAACCATCTTTCAGATACTGGACAGCCACTGCCATGTTCCCACTTGACCTGAGTCAATGCTGATGTCTGATGCAACTTGGAAGTGGTAGCTGGACTGTACAGGAATGATTGCTTTACCTCCATGGGGTATGGTGCATTGAAGTCAACTTCTGCCAGAGCCCAGTCCGCGCTCAGGGCACTGTCTGTTTTCCAGATCTCTTCATAAAAGCCACTCGTGTCTCTCAAGTAAACGGTGAAAACAATGCTACTCTCCTGCTTAAGCTGATAATAAAAAGATAAACAGCCAGACAGTGGGGATGTAGTTTTTGGTGAGATGAGCTGGGCCACTTCCTGAAAATGCTTGATGTAAACAGAGTCCACATACATGTAGTGACCTAAAAGTATAAAAGAAACGTGGTGTAAGGACACTCTTTAAAGGATGCCACTTACAAGAAGTATCAGGAGATAGGCACGGACTAGACATGTATCTCTACAATGTGGACCATGGTGTTTTATTTCTAGGAAATTTTAGTAATTCTAATTGGTTTTTTTTCTCCCTTTCTCCTATGTACAACCCAAAGTTGTTTGGCTAAGACACCATTGGCAGTCAATCTCAACAATTTCTTAAGTCTTTATTCAAGACCTTTATATTAAAGAAAGTAATAAGCTTTCTGAATTTTGGGAGCCATTCATAAATGGAAAAATGTGTTACAACTGAGTAAATTCCCTGCTCCCCCAGCAGCTCAGTATAGTATTTAGTTTTTTTCCAAGTGAAACTTTTACTGAGGCAGCCCAAGTAAATGAAAAAGACTATAAGCCATGTGTTCCCTCACACATTTTACTCAGCAGTTCATTTAATGTATCAAATGAATTGGCAAATAACTTTGATTCTGCATGCTTCACTGCTTGTATAACTCTGCTTGGTCTATCTAGGATTTGATTTCTAAATGTTTTATCTTTATTGAATAGACTGTGTTTTTTGTAAAATCCTTAAAAAAGACTTTTGGGAGATGTTCATAAACAGAAAAATGCATTACAGATGAGCAGACTCCCTCCTGCTCTACAGCCAATATGACCTGCTGGATTTTCAAAGGGTATAGCTTCTCAGACTTTGATTTTGGCAGCTATCTTGGTTTAAACAGGACACATCCATGTGCACGGGTATGCTGTGTATCTGTAGTTTTCCATCTTCTACACTCCCAGAAACACAGCATCAAACAGTATCAGTTGAGGGATGGAAAAATGGTTCTTCACAAGTAGGAAACTTAGAGGAGATGAAGTGTCAAACTGATAAAGTACTTCAGCGTGGACACTGCAAACTGTGCTGTTAGGGTTGTATCTACACCACTACAAAAATTAACTAATAGTGTTCTCAAACCTGGAGATCTCACTTCTCGCTTCGCTCCAGTGGAAGGAGGGAAAAGGGCTTGCTTGGCTGCGGGTCTCCTCCAGACTGCCCACTGCCACGGGACTGGTGACACTTCAGCAGTACTTGCCTAAGAAGTTCTGGGCTTCATTTTTGCTCTGCTGTTTTACCACATTTCACAGCTTAATTATGATCTCCCTGGCTGATGTACCTTCAAAGGACAATTCTTGCGAAAAGAAGGTTCTTCTGTGACTTTTGGCTTCTCGAGGTCTTCTCAGTTGATAGTCAGCAGAGAGGGTTTGGTGTGAAAAAGAAACACTGTGGCTACGAGAAAACAGATCCCTCCTGGTTGGTAGCATTTCCTATCACATACAGTACTTTATTTAATAGGTAGAGCCACTGCCTGCTGTTGAGGTTGTAGGGAGTTAAACTTCCATCAAAATTTTACCAGCATTTAGGTGCTGTGGGGTGATGCTGTGGAGGACTGACACTCTGTGCTCAACTCACGCCATTGTGAAATTAATGAAAAGGCACAGCGGCATGAGTTAAGGAAAGAAGGTCAACCCTGCTTTTCAGGATGTGATTCCTTGCACCATCACAAGTGCCACATTGTGACTGACACTCATCATACACACAGTGTGCTCCAGCAGCCAGATCTCACCATCACCTGCTGCAGTACTGCATGTAACACTACATCAAAGGCTAAGATATCACCCAACCCTTCTCTATGACTATGTAAAACGTTCTCCTTTCAGCAAGGAGGCTGGGATAAGTATTTCATACAGGGCAAGTGCTGAAAATCCTTGTAAGTCTTTACAGCATTCTGCCTCTGACAGACTGTATTAACTGCACCACATTTGACTGAAAGAAACAAAACTCCTAAACTGTGCAATTTTGTCCAAGACTCTCCAAACATGTTTCAATCCCTTAGCTTTCCTACTCAGCTTTCCCAATAGCCACTGAAAGAAAACCCCTGCTAGATGTATAGAACAGTGGTACAAGTGGTACAAACTTTACTGTGGCCCATACTTTTAGAATCCACAGAAAGATGAATTTTCCCCCGTCTCTGTCCAAAATTTTATTCTTGAGTAACTGTGAAGCCTAGCAAAGGGCATAGCAACCTTATTATAAAGCTTCCAGGAAATTTGGTGTGACCTGCAAATTTCCCCTGATCTTTCTCTAATCCTTTTTTTCACATCAATCATTCTTACCCCACCCTGTGTCAGGAGAAAAAAAAGAACTCACATAATAATTTGCAGTATAAGAGTAATACGTGGATCACAGACTCAAATTTTCCACTATACTTCTGTTTTACATTTCTTGCTTACCCAGCTCACTGTTAAGCGTGTGGTCTTTGGGCAGGACAGACTGAGAATTGCGAATGTTCCCTCCACCAACAAACCAGTTGACATTGGGGTTCCAGTGGTTCACAAAGCCACAAAGATGATTTTCTTCAAAGTCACATTCTGCAATTGCAAACACCACCAGCTCAGTACAGAAACCGGAGGAGAGGCTGTTGCTGAGTACTGGCCTCATTTTACATATGGCAGCGCAGATAACATGTGTATTTATAAAACTGGACATAGTACTTAACAGCTTATAATAAACAGAAGCAAGCTTAGCTATAATTTTTGATCAACTTTTGATAAAATTCTCATTTCCATCCTGTTAAGTTCAACCTATCTCTTCATTATTTGGCAATATAGGTCTGTTGTTATTTAAAACCAAATACAATAGATTTAAAATATACCACTTTGTAGCATTAAATAGTCAGAGCAGAACTTCCACCTGTAAATCAAGGATGGCAAGAAGCAAAGCAGGATGAGTATTTCATAGCAGTAATGAGACTGCTTTGTTTCCTTCACAGAGCCAAAGAATTGTGAAAATTTGTTTGGACTCCACCAGAGCTCCCCAGAAATGCAAAAGTCTCCCAGCCTCCCAGCCACTGAAGTTTTTTACTTCATTAGCGGTTTTTGGCAAATGTCATGAGAAATAGCAGTAAGTGTAGATATCAACAGAGTTTTGACTCTGCAGCCTGCAAGATGCCACTGTACAGAAGCAGGAGCAGGCAGACAGCAGAAATAATGTCACAGCTGTAATGTCTAATATTTGCAGCAGACTAATTTCTTAAAAATATTAACACTTGTTCCCTCTTGAAGAATAAATAACTTTAGAATGAATTATCATATGTGAAATTTCTATACATATCACAGAGATGGCTGATGAAAAACACATATTAGTGTGTGTAAACTTAGCTTAAAAAAATATCTATATTGAACGTAGCAGCCTACTTTTCAATAATGAAAAAAAAATGTCTTTTTTCTAAATCTAGATCTTTAATTCAGTTTTAAAACTGCCAACAAGACACCTTTTTCTATGCAGAGAATATGGGAGCTGAGCAGACAGTACTTACCAATACAATATCCAGAAGTTATTTTAATTTCAAAAACTGCTATACTGGCAGATTTATCTTGTCCCATTTCACCTTCCAGTACAATCTGCACAACATAAACCAAACTGTGAATTTTAGAGTTTCAATAATTCCATTATCACCCATGACATTTAAACAGGATAAACAGGAGAACAAATTAAATATATGTGGGAGAGTCATCATCCACAGAGACCTGGGAGGTCCTGTATCTCCTCCAGGATGCCAGCAGCTTTGCAGGGCTGCCACGAGGGACACCCCAGCACGTGCACCAGAAAGCCTGTGGCATCTTCCAAAATCAGGCTTACCTTGTACTTCTCTGTGCTGTTCTTTAAATCTAAGCTAGCTATGAGCCAGCTATCAGAAGGCTCCTTGGCTGACCACAGCAAATGATCAAAGCTCTCTCCTTCCTGCCTCAGGTACAGGTTGAGCCTGGCAGGATCGGGTGAAGTCGCTGAAGTCTCTGAAGTTGCTATCTGATAAATCAGCCTGACACAGCTCCACTCCTCTGAGTACAGCTCAGGGCTGGACAGCACTGCTTTCTCACCCTCGTAAGATGTATCCACAGAAATGTAATGTCCTGGGAACAGACACACAGCAGAATAATAAATGTCAGAGGCTTTGCTTTTGCATCCCTAGATAAAAGTGCTTATTTATAAAGGAATGGTTATTCTGGGGATAGATCAGGAGATTAAGATGGCCACTCATTTGTTAAGCAGGTAATTTAACCTTTTGGTATCGCACTGTATCCACACAGACACCACTTCATGTGGCTCATAGCATTTTTAATTAGCATTTTTAAATTACTGGAAATCTTCGGAGAAAACTGTTATGTAAGTGTAGTGCAGATTATTAAGTAAGAATTAAGTATTGCCCTCCAGAACTGATAGCTGTAGACAGATTATTTGATTGACAAGATAATTTACACAAACAGGAGTATGCTGCCAGAATATCTAATTGTTTTAGAGATCACAATTTTTCAACTTCATTTTTATAATTTAGATTTTAAAACAATACATTAAAGCCATAACTTCTAAAGCATTTCTGGTTTCAAAGAAGAAAGCTAGAAAGATACTCCTAAGTAGTAAAACTAGCAAGTACGTATCTGCTTATTCAAAAAAGTGCTAAGTGTAAAGCTACATTTAAACATAGCAGTCTCAATGAGATTATTTCAGAATTATTCACTGGATGGATATTTTAGGAGCAGGGCCTAAAACATATCCTTGTCTACAAAAATAAAAGAAAGAATGCGACGACAAGCTAAAAATGCATGAGGAAGCCAAAAAAATGGCAAAGAAACAACATGTAGAAAAAGGAGACAACAGTAAATAAATCCCAGTGAAACAGAAGCCTAGTACTGGAGACTTTACTAACACATCAAAACCAAGATCAGGAAAGTAAAACAGGATACAGGAGTCACAGAAACTTTGAATGCGGTGCTAGAAACAAGTGAAACAGAGAGAGAAAAAAATAAACAAACAAACAAAAACCAAACACAAAACCAAAAAGCAACCAAACAAAAAATCCCAAACAACAAAACAATAAAATAAACTAGGACATCCATGTCTGAAAGATTATTCCAGAGACAATCCGCAAAATTATCCTCCTAACCTAGTATCCATGCACATCAGGCAGATCCCATTCCTGATACCAATTCTCAACAGCCAGGCTGCAAGCAAAAGTCGTAAGAGTTATCAGGGACAAGTCAAGTCAGTCCTTCCCCAGCAGCACACCACACTTATCCAACCTATCCTCTTCAGACTCGCCAGAGCACGCATTTCTTCTTCTTTAATCTCATTCCACTTGACCACAGAGCTCATCTTGGTTTCCACACACATGTAAGCATTTGCTTAACTTGGACTCATCAGCAGTTGGACTGAGGTTAAGTTTGTTGGTTGCCTTTGTGGCACACACTGCCCTCCCAAATCCTGCCTGAACCCTCCAACTTTACCAAGCCACCCTGGAGTTGCTTCCTAGAAGCTCCCCTATTGCCTTTTCAAAAGTACTCTCTCCAATGTGAAAAATATCATCCGCATGGACAGTCACCGTGCCCTCAAGGCAAACAAATCTGGTCTATGAGGTTCCCACAATCCACTCCCATACACTCCCAGGAAGATGCCAAGAGTGGGCAGCAGCTCTGACAACACTTCATTCCTTGGGCAGTGCATGTTACAACACACCTCTGCATCTGCTCCCTCTCTCACCTGCAGACACTGTGCACAGCAACCCATCTGCGCTGTACATTTTTGTTTAACAGATGTAAGATAAATGATTGCTACTTACTTAGGGGGTAGATGCAGCCTTAAGCAGTTTAAGGGGCTGTGTAAATACAGAAAAGATGTATTTTCTTTCTCTTTTTAGGGAATGGAATTTTTTTTGCCTCTTACCATGATTTCTCTTTATATCTACTGTGCCTGGTTTTAGTCTCTTGGAGGAATACACAAAATCACTGGTTAAGTATGAGTAACTTGTTACTGCAGCAGCATATGAAAGAAAAATAAACACAGGAATAAATATTTAAAAATAGGCACCTAAAGGGCCTGCCAAATACTTAATCTACCACTACATAAAATGTGAGCGCATAGAACATCCACTTGCAAACATATATCGAGTTAGTTCACAAGAATTAGCACGCACAGCTTTTTTTTGTTGGCATGTTCTGGTCCAAGGTATGCATGTTTTTTCACGTGCATGGAGGATAGAAGGAAATCACCAAGGCTTTATCAGAAGTCAAATGCTTCTCACACATTTTCATTTATATAAGTGGCAATATCCAGTTCAGATGAAGAATCTAGGCTAGTCTGAATTTGGACCATTTTGCTTACAAAGAAACCTACAATTCAGAATCCACGCCTGACAATTTCAGTTGAGCTTTCAGCCCTGCTTTTGTCCGCACTTCATGAGAAACCCCATAGGAAACAAAGCCTTCT